TAAACTAGTTTATGCTGTCTAGTTTTTCAAGAGTTAAGACAAAAAAAAAAATTAATATTTGTTAAACTTCACAAAAAAAAATTTAAATTTTTTAAACCAAAATTAAAAAAGACTAAAAAAAGGAACTTGTTAGATAAATTGAAGCATTAGGCTGCATAGCTTATAAAAATGAACATAATAAGATCAGTTTGTTGGTGGGATTCTATTAAAAGATTTATTATAAGAAACTAGCTGTTTGTTTCTGCAATGCCATATTTTGACACCTAAAAAGATGTAATATTTGAGCAGAAATGTGATATTTTTATTGCAAAAAAAATGAACAAATAGATTCTAAAGTACCTATCCTTGCTTTTAATTTAAATACACAGTATATATTACTGAGGTTTGTCACTTTTGGTTATTTTGGGGTCAAACTGCTGTCACTGTAGAACCCGTTAGGGTCCAGAATTGACTAAAGTTGTCAAACTTCTGCAGGTACGAGTCCTGCCTTCTTCCTGCCGAAAACAAGCCTCTGGAGATGTCTGTGCTGAAGAGAGTCAAAGAGCTGCTGGGCGAGGTGGACGCCAGGACCGCAGCTAAACACATCACCCTGCTGGACTGCAAGGTAACCCGCAGCTGGAGGGGAACCGTCCACGTGCATCATTACTGGCGTGAGCAAGAGTTTACCCTCCACGGAGGACAACGTGAACGCGAACAAACACTCGATTCTTCGTTTTGTCCTCTTGTGCAGGTCGCCAGAATATCAGGCGTCACTTCAGAAATGCAAAGGATGATGGGAGTGTCCTCAGGGCTGGAGTTGTTGACGCTACCTCATGGACATCAGCTGAGGCTTGACCTGCTAGAGAGGTACAAACGCACTCGTCAAGGATATCTGAACAAGATGGCCGCCACATCCAAACAAAAATCGTTATGCCTGAGCGTCACAGATATAAAGCTGAGCTTTGGTGTGGTTGTAGCCGAGAGTATTCCCTGATCACACGAGACGTTTGTTCATGACTTAGCCATTAACTACACAGTGTCTGTCTGTTAGCAAAATATCTCATGAACCACTGAATGCGTTTTAATGAAACTTTTGCACAGTAACCACTGGATGAGTGACTACAGCTGATTAACTTTTGGAGTAAACCCAATTCAAGATGGTTGCCACAGCTAATCAACCGCAACTAAAACACAAATGACTATGAATAAATCAATTTTACAGATATTGAGCTAAAATTTGTTGTGATTGTAGATTAGCATCAATCTTAAGATGTGTTCTAACAAACTATGCATAACATTATTTTTAAGATGTAACCAAAATGTCTTTAACTCCGTCTCCTCTCATCATGAGATGACCTTAGTTTTAAACTCAGACATGGATGGCAGCAGGTAATGTTCGTTTCTTTAATGCTGCGCCTTTGTTAAGTTATTTTTGTGTGTTCTCAGGTTCTACGTCATGTCCATCATGATGGCGGTGGATCTTCTGGGCTGCACGGGGAGCACAGAGGAGCGGGCAGCCCTCCTCTATAAAACCATCCAGTTAGCAGCAGAGCTGAAAAGCAGCCTGGGGAACATGTTCGGATTCGCTGCAGTGATGAGAGCCTTGGAGCTGCCGCAGGTGAGAAACCTGCAGACATAAGCAAACGGTTCCCCTCAGTGTCCGAAGCGGACTTTATAAATGTTTTCCCCTCGTTCCATCAGATTTCCCGCCTGGAGCAGACGTGGGTAACGTTACGTCAGAGACACACAGAAGGAGCCATTCTGTACGAGAAGAAACTCAAACCGTTCTTAAAGAACATGAATGACGGCAAAGGTGAGGTCCTAATCTAGTTTTTACTGTTTCACATAGAAGTAGAGTTGCATTCGGGCCCAAATTATCTGTCCCAACCCAGCCCCAGCCCGTAGCCATCATTTCCAAACTCCACCCGACCCAACGAATTAACAATAATCACAGGTCCAAACCCGAAAAAAAATTAAATTAAGTTTTGTCTGCTTGTATAGTTATTAACGGTCGGCGGACGCACGCCCCTGAGTAAAAGGGGCAGAAGATCAGAGCTGAGGGGGTGTTTGTCCTTTCATGGCCGTCAAAGCGCATTAAATCCCTGCTTCTGCATTATTCAGACACGGATCCTGCTCTGACATGTCGGATATTGCAGTCATCAACAGCTGATCAAACTCTCACTGTCTTCCAGAGGCCAGCATCATGTCCAACACGTCCTTCCCCCACGTCCTCCCTGTCCTGTCTTTACTGGAGCGCGGCGCCGCAGTCGGGGAGGTGCCGGAGCCGTGGGAGAGCTCCGAGGCGGGCGTGGACGTGGTCATGTTCCACTTGGAGACGGCACGAAGCATTGCTCATCACAGTGAAACCTACCGAGCAAACGCAGAGAGCAAACTGCAGGGTAACACCTTCCTGTTCGAAAACTGACCCAAACTTCTTGCTCAGTAAAAAATGGAAAAAGATGATCTGCTCTTCAGAACATTTTCCTGTTGCACACTCAGTATGTGTCTGTAAATAATGTGTGCTCAGTGTCCCAGCATGGCAGATTTGACTTATTGATTGGATGTGTGTGGTTACCATGTTGACTGTATCGATCCTAATACCTCACTATCGGTTCTCCGTTTGAAGCCATTACTGTTTTATTGAACAGCCTGCCGATAGCTTTTAGCTCACGCCTGTGTTTCCTGTTAGAACGTGCTATTGATCCTCCTGACTTCAGTCTGCAGCTGTCAACATTTCCATCAGCCCCTATCGAGACGTTTAGGTTGCAGCTGCTTTTATATGAACAATTCAATTAAACTTGATAGGCAAAGCCAGGGATTGTTTCGTCTCGTGACAAAAACATTCTTCACAAGAGGTCGTACGTTCAAAAGAATGACCACAACTAAAAGTTAAGATCTGTTTTGAGTATAAAAACAATAGGAGCTATTGTCACTGAATTGAACTTATTAAGACGATTTTTTTCCAGTTTTTCCACTTTTTAGTTTTCATTTTCCAATAATTCTGAATGTTTAGATGTCATAGCACTAAAGAAACTGCATCACAGTCCAGAAACTGATTTTAATTATCTGTTAGTAAAGTATCTTATTAAACAATAAGCAGATTATAATGAAACTCTCAGAAAGTAACAAAGCGTATAACTTCACCTGCAGCTAATACAATTCAAC